AAAACGGGGACAATTTCATTTTAGGCATTTCTGTTCCGTCCAATTTATACTTCCGGACAGTTCTGATTTAGCACAGTTTTTAATTTGGAACCATTTTGATTTAGGAAATGTTCATTTTGCTACAGTTTCATTTTAGGAAATCTCCAATCCGTCGTACCACCTTTTGATCAGAAGATTATTCGATAATTTAGTGTGAGAACTCGATTCCGGTGACCTCAACCTCTCCGTCGATTCGGAGTCCGATGTAGTCACCGATTGGGTTTGGAGTGCGGTGTTGGAATGTTCCGAAGCGCTCACGATTGATGAAGATTTGGATCGAGAATTCTTCGTTGATGATGGTCAAATCGAATCCAACGTCCTTCTTGAATGGGAACTCTCCTTCACGCTCCTCGTTGTCCCAAAATCCATTACGGTGGGAGTTGCGAACAACCTGATATGATTTAACTTAAAAAAGAACTTTAATTGGAATTCAAACATACCACTTTCTCCTTCAGTCTTGGGTTGAAATGGAAGAGGACGTCCTGGTTGCGAGCGACCAAATCGAATGACCAACGATCACCCTTTGGAACTCCGTAGAGATGAATGCGTTGTCCTCGCTCGAGGTGTCCAGCTGGGAAAGCAGTCTCCCATGGCAATTTGTAGAATCGTCCTCCCCAGTGGATTCCGTTCAACGAGACCTCACCACGAACGGAGATGTACTCGATGGATTGGAATGGCAAACGGTGCTTGAATTCGTGAATCTTCCTATTGTCAGCAGAAATTTCGAAGCCCTCGTCGAGCACACGAATACGGAGATCGAAGTCTTGTCCAGCGTGGAATGGGATCGACTCGCGCTCTTCTTTTCCCCAAACACCGTTCTCGTAGCTGTTCATAATGACCTTCTTGTCCTTGAAATTGAGTTTCAAGTGAAGGATCACATTGGTATTCGGAGCGATGTCTCCACCTCCTTGAAGAAGATTGAACTCGGCACTGAAAATTATTAGTTTTTATAACTGGTAATTTTGATTGAATCTGATACTTTATTTAGTCGTTGAATTCTAAGGTTTTTTACTTACACGAGAGCTCCGTCATTGATTTTTCCGTGGACGTTCAGAGTTTGTCCAGCTTCGAGCGGCTGTCCAAGACGAGAAGTGTATGGAACTGGGAGTGGGGTGTCATTGTCATGAGAAGACTGGAAGCAGAGATAGATTTTGGAATGGGGTTTGGTGTTTTAGATTTTTATCGATTCTAAATCTCAACACCTATTAAACTAAGGAAACTTAAGCTTTCACATGACCCTACTTTCGTTAAAACCATGCTTACCATTTTTGATAACAATCGATGTAGAGTGTCAACAGCGAAAAGAATAACTTTGAGACAGTCGACCTAAAAAGTGGGTGGAGTTCAGTTGTGGACAAACAGATGTGAGATATAGCGGACGAAACGGAGAAATTAGAGAAGGCCAGAGAAAAATGCCTCTCGATAGAACAAGGACGCCGTCGGCTAGACGAGCGCCAAAAACCTAGAGAAAAAACAACACACAAAAGGTAAACAAGAGATGATGAGAGAAAGAGAGAGAGAGAGAGACTCGGAATGGGAACAGAGTTTGTGTTCTTTTGAATTTTGTGGAGGAGAGGTCTTCGAGGAGAGGCACCATCAGACAATAAAATTGTTTGGTTGGCCGACTGATGAAATCGAGGGGACGTGTGAGTAATCGGGAAGTGATGTTGATATTGTCATAAACTGGGATAACCCATAAAATAAGAAAATCTTCTCTAGATCTCTCACGGTTGTTTACACAAAAAGTACAGAAACCAATATCTGGCCATCCGAATTTTACGATGTGTTGGTGTCTTTATATAGAGGCACAAGAGACTGGCTTGTTTTGATGTTTGAACTCTTGTTCTTGTGAGCAACATATTGCTTTCTTTTCAATTTGGGTTTCAAGATTATTTTTTGAACATTGTTTACGGCAAACGAAGCTGAAAACAACAAAAAACATCATCATAAAAAAGCCGAATTTGAAACTGCCGCTATAAACAATGTGTGGTTTTGCGTCAGGTCTAATGCAAACCATAACCTAATTTGCGCAGATTCGCAAATTTTGAAAAGACCGTTGTTTCTTGCGAGTGAAGTGTGAAGCAGAGAGCATTGAAAAGCTTTGTAGTTGAAAAGTTACGTTGTCTCAGATGTCACTTCGTCCGTCAAGGTTCTCCGTCTCAATTTCAAATCTGTTTCAAAAAGTGACCCTGAGAAGATTGACTCACCCGGTTCTCCTTTCTTCTTCTTCTTCTCTGTATCTCTCTTTCGTTTTTTTGTCGGCAGTTCTCTGGGCCGCTGTTTTGTATTTATGGCGAAAAAAAGGATTTGAATGTATTTGGAAATTCAAATGTTCATTTGATTACAAGGTAATACAATACACCGTTTTTGAGAAAGAAGACGGTAATTTTAAATAATGAAACAGGTATACCGGGTAAAAAGAATTGGGGTTTGAAGGCAACAAGTTGAGCAAAATATTGGTACGCTTGTGTAGGTTACCCGTAGTTTCGATTTTAAAATTGGTAGGTTTTGAGAAAGGGATTAAAAAAAAGAGATTCAAAAGGAGATACTATATGAAAAGATGTGGCTAGTCCTGATCAATATCATCAAATGAGGCAAGTTGGAAATCTCCGAAATTGTTTCGAATGTCTCTTGAAAGAGCAGCCATTTCTTCGAGAGCTAGTCCTTCTACGTCACTTTGCATTTCATATTCATTCTCATAACCAATCGAGTGTGTCGACTTCCATCTGGAAAAATGTGTCATACCCAACAATAAAATTTCATGAATGTGCCGAAACTCACCTTATAGGATCTAGGTCAATACTTCCAGTCATACTACTGCATTGAGACTCCGTATCTCCATCAGCGGCATCTCGATGCCATCTTCGTGCCTCCTTCCTTCTTCTTTGTTTTTGCCTCGATTTTGAATTTCTTGAATGTGAAACCGAATTGGCATTAGATTCCACATCAGATATTGCTGCATCTGATTCTGCGTTATCGTATTCTGTATGGCACGCCGAAGACATTGCACGGTGCACTGATTTGACTGATCCAAAGTTGGAAGGGAATGGCTGATATTCAAGAGGTTTTACCTCTGCAAAATCTCCGAAAGCGTTCAATTCCTGGATCATTCTGTCAACACGATTCGCAGCTGCTTCAATTTGATTAATTTCTTCAGTTGACTGTTCATTGTCTGAATGTCCTTTCCGGAACAAACCAAATCCATTACGAAGTGAGTTTTTAGAAGACGGACGCCATCCACGACGACCTGAATTGATTTTTTTATTTTGCTGAAACATGATTCTTTCACTCACAATTATTCCTTCTATTTTCTCTGCTTGTAGTTGATCCATATTCAGCATCCGACATATCAGATCCTGATTGAATCCTTCTGTTTCGATAATCTTGTTCTGCAGACATAGCTCTAATATTCTGATGGATAGGTTCACGATATGGATCATAGTCGGAGTTCTTCATTACGAATCGATGATTTCTTTGTGCTTCTTTCATCAGTGCTGTTTCTGGAGTAATCCATTCCAGATCAGAATCCGTTTCAGCATCTCCGTCAATAGATCGGAGTTCTGAAGAGAACGAAGATGCCATAGAAGATGCCATCTGAAGAAGAATTCACATTAATTTCAGTATCAAGAATTAATTATTCTTACCTCCGACGTCTGTGTATCATACATTCTGGAATGGCATGCAAATTGTGCTTCCACCATTCCTTTTGTATGCCTCTCTTGCTCTTCTCGTGGCATTGTTGGAACTTCAACAGACACTTCACGAATTCCAGTTATCAATTCATAGGCATTCAGATTCAGAGCAACTTTAACTGGTTGCGAACTGAATCTCAGTGGACGTGGACGAAGAGCCAAAAAGACTTCTTCAGAAACTAAAGTTGTGTCATGTCCAGCTGCTTGCATCAGTGTTCTTGAACGATCCAAGGTCTCTCCAAAGATTTCATAACGTGGTTGATCAGTGTTAGTCACAACGGCAAGAGTACTTCCGCAGTCGACACCTGTCAAAAAATATATTGGGAAATATTATTATTTGATTGAAAGGACTCACCAATCTGAACATGGAATTCGTTCTCCACTGCAAACTGTGAAACACTAATGATAAAATGAGCAAGAGTGCTCAAAAGTTCTCCGATGGTCCAGGGAGTCTCATTCACATTTTGAGCAGCATCCGGTAAGAGGCCAACAGCAACTATATAAAAACGATTGGCACTCTTCACTTTTTCAACTCCCTTGTAATTGGAAATCGCTTGATCGAAATGAGAGAAAACGTAATTCAATCCATTGATTCCTGCGTCTCCTTCAAGATCAAATCCACTGACTGCAATGTAAGCAATTCCAACTGATTGATGGGAATGGTGCCAAACGTCTCCTGCTTTTTGAATGACTCCCGAAGCTACATGAGCTGGTACTAGATTCAAAAGCATTTGATTGTTCAAGTTGATCAATTTATCCTTCATTGAAGTTTCTTCAATTCCTTTCACAACTGCCAGAAAATCCAACCGGAGAAGTTTCTCACATCTTCTCGAATACACGAAAACAAGGGACGCCAGTGATACCAAAAAGCATGTGAGATCTAATTCAGTCATGAATTCTCGTGGTCCGAACTCTGCTGGTCGAGTCACATAGATTTGCAGTCCATAAGTGAGCAATGAAATCAGAAGAAGAGTCGCCAGAAATACAGATGGAAATCGGACAAAAACTGCTGTTGTGATAGTCCACATTGCAAATGAATAAGTCGAAAAGTGCGCTTTTTGACAAACATCCGGAGCATTTGGTTGTGGACATGAAAACTGAAATTAGTGAACATTATCATACAGAACTATTGAAAGTGGACTCCGATCAAAAATTTTCAAGCGTTAGAATAATCGAAAAGTTATGTATTTTCCGAATATTAGTTCGAAAAAATCCCTAGAATTCTCACTGCGCGGGAATTCAAAATCTCTTCCCTATTCACCATAATTTTTTCAAACTTCCAACTGAATTTCTCGGGTATTTCGGATCTTTTGAAGAATTTTTCGCAATAAAATTAGGAAAATACATAACATTCAAAGAATTTTAATTCAATAAAAATTTTTGGTCGGAGTGTCCTTTTGAGTTTTTTTTCAAAAAACTTACTGTATTAACAATTCCACAAACAAACAAAATCACAATGATCAAAACAATGCTAACTGCATGACCAGCTGATGTTCTAGTGATAAATTGAGAGAACGTCTGAAAATGTTTGTTTTCTTAATTATGGAAGTGTTTACAACTCACATGAAAATAATCAATGTAAAGCATGAGAAGAATGAAAAACATAATGGTCAAAGCACCAACAATCAGTGCTAAACTGGTGATAAGTCGAGGCATAACCAACATATGATAAATGCCATAAACTACCAAAAAGAATATTGAGATTGCAAGTGATGGAATGAACCAGTGATCTGTTTCTTTGTGATATTCAGCTTCCAATCCAGGATTTCGGAATCGCTGAGAAATTGATGAAATGATTGTTGAGTGTTCCACTTTTTCTTTTTTCATATCAAACTTTTCTTGACTCTTCTCCCCTTTTCTCTTCTTGTTTGTTCCCATTGTTTTTAGAGTTGGATTCATGGCGACGATGCTTTGGAGCACTCGGTTGACGGCTTGTGGTACAGTCACCAATGAGAATCTGAAAATTAAAAAATAATAATATTTGGTTGTCTGGAAACATAACTGATGTACCGTTTATTGATTGGGAACAATTCAGGAGATGGTAGATGTCCATAAAGTCTCCATCCAATAGGGCACTTTTCCAGCTCGAATTCGTTGCTGGTTCCCAAAAATCGACGAGTTTCATTCGACACGTAGACTCCTCTGAAAAATTCAAATTCTAGCAGTTTCCAGAAAACAAACATACGGTTCTGTGGCGTTGCTTTGCATCAGAAGGGCATTATCAAAAACTGATCCAATGACGTCATAATGCCACTTCGAGACACCAATAACTCCAGCAGTTATGGGTCCACTGTCAATTCCAATACAAACCGATACATCAGCAGTAGTTGCATCTCGAAATGAATTAATCAGTGTCTCAAGTTCCATGGCAAATCTGCATAGTTTTGCAGCATGTTGAGAGTCGATTCCAGGTATCGAGCAGACTGCAGTGATGCCTTCAGAAGCAACACGAGTACATCCATTGGCAGCGGCTAATCTCTCGATTCTGTTGTCTAATTCTTTTAGAACACGGGCGGCGTCAATTGAAGAGCATTGGGCGAGAACTGTTTCGAAACCAACGAGTCTTCCATATGCAACTGATACCTGAATTTTATTTTTTAGCGAATTTTCGATTTTCTGTTTTTTTGGCTTGCCTAATGCCTAAATTTCTAAATTTTCGAACTTCTGACTTTCTGAATTTTTAAATTTCCAAGTTTTCGAAAACCCGATTTTTGACTTTCTAAGCTTTTAATTTTCGAATTCACTAATTTCCGAGTTTCTGATTCACAGAATTTTAGAATTTTAGAATTTGAAAATTTCTGAATTTCTTTATTTCGAATTTACAGAATGTTTTGAATTGCGAATTAAAAAATTCAGTTTTTGAATTTCTTAAATTCCCAACTTTTAATTTTGCGAATTTCTAGGACATTAAGTACTTTTTTTCATGTTTCAAAATTTCGAAAAGTCATTAATTCAAAATTTAGGGAGATTTAAGAATTCAGAAATTTTGGAAAGTGGAAAAATCTGAAATTTGAAATTCGAGTCACAAACTGAGAAACTAGGAGATTGAGACCCCGGTGGGGGGGGGGGGGGCGTAAACCGATGGTACAAAACATTTGAAAGCCTAAAAACTTTATTCAGGTTCGCAACATTTTCCATAACAAACTGTGGGAAGCTACAGTAACCCGAATTTTTTCTCACGTTTATGGCTTACCTGTGAATATGTCTCATTGTACAGATGTGGTTTGTAGAGTGTTATCTGGTGTCTCGCTTGATTGATAAGGTGAAACGGAAGGAAGGATGAGAGAAGTTTATTCTGAAACAAGTCCCTTTTCCAAATTTAGTTCATGTCATGTCCCACTCCCCACATAATACTTGTAATATGATACTCCCACTTTCAAACATAATCTTTCCCAATCAAAACACTCCAATTTCGGTTCCCCAGTTCTATTCATTCTTTTGTGTTCGTACAGTCCGTATTTGCAAATGACTGCGCAATGCGCATTTGACACGTCTCGTGTGTCTTTTGACGCCTTTTCTGTTTGCTCCTTTCCCCAATCTTCAGCCAAATACAACATCAACTTACCAGACGATTGCTTTGGAACTCGGCTGTTGTTTCGGCTTCCGATGAGTTTCTCGCTGACAAGAAGGCGTTCCGAGCAAGACGATCAGCGGAGGAGCAGAGATAGATTCCAGTGAAGTTTGTCCAGATATGGACGACGATTATAGCAAGCAACTGAAAAGATGAGGAACGTTATGAAGCTGTGATTAAGATAATCATAAATTCAGACTTCATGATTTCAGAAATCTGATGTATTTTTCGAAACATCGTCGAATCCCTGATACTCAATTTCCTTTCTCGTCCCCCTTTCAGTTTAATATCCATTGTTCATTGACCCGTATTATGTGTGCACTTAAAATTTGCTCCCTACTTCTGTGTATTTTTGAAAAAAATCTACTGGTTCAGTGAGTCTCTGATTTGAGAAATGGGTTGGTTACACTTTGTGCTCTCTGAGTAGAAGAAGTAGCACGTTGTAAACTCAAGAGAGAGTGGGTATCGAGTTGTGAAATAGTGGGGATAGAAGTGATCAGAGAGGAAGATTTACCGCAAAATGGGACACATTCAGAATGGGATGGGAGACACGTGGCAAGGTAGCGGTCCAGAGAGAAAGTAGTTCAGGTTTTTATGGGATGGGTAAGGATCAAATGCATTCAAAGATTGAGAGAAACAATTTCAAAAGAAAGAGCCGATGTTGCAATTTAGAGAAAATATACTGTAAACTTTGAGCCCTTATATCTCATTTACTGTACAAGGTATCAAAAAGTGACGAACTGGCAAAATGTTTGTCATATTATCAAAAACGTTTTGTTAATTGGTAGCTTTTTGATATCTTTTACAGCAACCGAGATAAATTGGTTCAAACTATACTGGCTCAAACTGACGGTTTGTGGCATAACATAAGAGTGTTTACGGTGGTTGATAAAAAGAGCGGAATCTGAAAAGTGTTGCTTAATAACCAAAATTTAACATTCAGCCTTGCGAAATTCCATAGTTCTAAAGAAATATTTTATTCTTACAATAGCTTAGAAGAATCCATAAAGATTCAATAGGTTTTCAGAATTACCTTTTTTGCTCTAACAGAAGCTCACCGTATACGTACACTTTGAGCTCAATTACCTAGGTTTTTTCAGAAGATATAAAAAATATGTCAACTAATAAAATAATGGTAACATTATGATACATGATTTGTCTTTTTTGATAGCTTTCGAAAGAACCAAAGTTGACGGTTTGGGTGGGCTTCTATTATATCAAATACGGTAGATCTCTTTTTTTGAAATTGGGCGTCTCAACTGAAGTTTTTTTTTTAATTTTATAAGGCTTCATTTCTGCATTCTTTTCGCCTTTCCTCTACAAATCCTTGCAAGTTTTCCCACAACCAAACTTTCCCAATAAAATTCTACTGACTGTCTCTCTCTCTCTCTCTCCCTTTTTTTCACTTCTTTGCTTTTTTCACTTCCAATCCAACCCAATAAATCTCTCATCGTTCTTCACCTGTTCTTCCTCTCCTTATCTTCTTCTTTTCTTCTCGCCGATTGAAATCGAGAAGGAGAGAAGAGAGATCGGTTAGGAGCTGCTACAAGTGTAACTCCCCTCTCGTCTGTCTTCAAAGTGATTAACAGCAAAGAACAGAAGAGATAAGCAGAAGAAAAAGAAAAAGATCAGGAAGATACCACTACCATCACTTTTCGTTTTTCTGTGTGAAAAAAGTGAAAAAAGATTGTAAAACAAAACGACAGGCACCCATATATTTCTGTTGCGTTTAGAAAGAGCAATGAAATTTGAAGATGAATGGATTGGTCCCTGTCTCCTGTCAGGTGGTGTTGAAATGTTTAGGCTGGTGAGAAGGGAAAAACTATTTTTCGTTTCCTGAAGAACACCTAAACTTTTGATGGTCCTTTTGTCCATCAGCTGACAGCCACGAGAACACGTGGGGGAAGAAGAAAGAGAAGATTCTAGAACTTTTTGTGTTTACAGTCTGACTTTAATTGGTTACTGTAATTGTTATAGTTTGAAATTGGAAGAGGGGGACTGTAATTGAAAAGAAGGAATTACGAGAAATCCTAGAAGAAACAATAGAAATGAGAATAGAAAAAAACGTTAGTAGTTGGCAGAGATGTCCGGAATTACTTTTTTGAGAAACGGAACCCGGAATAGCAATAATTTTCCGGAATCCGGAATACGGAATGAGGACAAAATATTTTTCACGGAATCCGGAATCCGGACAACTCTAGTAGTTGGGCAAATTTCAGATTACTGTAGGAGACATTGATGTTCGGGATGGCCTTTTCGAAATTTCCCGGATTGCCAAAAACTCCGATTTTTAACATTTCGAAATTTCGGAATTCAGGGAAATATTTCCATTTTTACTATTTTGGAATCCCACTTTCCCGCCACAAAAACTCAAAAATTTGACAAAGTGGTTTCGTTAACGCTAATAAAAGAATTCAAGTAATTCCACTCAAGACCAGGTAACAGATTTTCCGCGTGCGTCTTTGATATATCGTAGTCCAAAAAGCTCTAATTCTGGAAAGAAAATCGGTGCTTTGGAATAATTCCGGTCGGAATTTGCGGAGTACGCGGAATTCAGAATTCCATTCCAGACATCCCCGTAGGAAAAAATATCTAGTGTTCAATTAACATAATTACACCCAACAACTTACTTAAATTATTATTCAGAGTCCTTCCCATTTTTTCTATACTTCCCCTACTAATCCATGCTACATTTTCTTTTTCTATTTTTCATTGTCCTTGCCTTTTTCTTCTTTTTATTCAACTTTTCTTCCATATGCTCTTCCTGTCATAAGTTTGACACGTCTGTCGGGTTATTCTGCGCATTCCAAAGGAGACACATGAGAGTAGTAGCTCGTCACACATTTTTGATAAATGCCCCCTTCTTTTGTGACCCAACTTCTTCTTTTTCTTCTGTCGCCATATCTCAGAGTTCGATCTCTTTGAGAATGACCCCTTGAAGAAGTTTCGAATGCGACAAAATATGGGACATTTTCTCTCTTTTTCAGAAAACAGAGGAAAAATGTAAACCATGAAAAGACATCAAAATAATATTTCATGTTTTCACTACACTACTCTGTTTTTTTCTTCATTTCGATCATTCAAAACCTCCAGTTTCCAAACCGAAACCGCCAAAGGAAAGGGGGTTTTATTTGCGGAAACAAAGAAGAAGAAAAAAGAGAGATCGAGAAGAATTAACCGGAAAAAACACCAAAACTACATAGGAAAACTAATCGATTCCCTTTTCATTAGAGGTCCTGTATACGAAAAAACGGAAATTGTATGGGGAAGAAAATAGATTCGCAAAGATTCGTATTTTTAGAGATGAGCACAAGATGAGCATCCGATTACAAGGGATTACTGTAGCTGGGCTTTAAGGGCTTCGGAAGCGCTGAATTCGATCCTAAATATTCCAATTCAACATATTTATTTTAAAATATTCATGGTTTCAAGGATTTCCTAAATTTCAAGATTAACAGAACTTCAGAATTTCAGAACTTCAAAAATTCAAGATATCAGAAATTTAGAATTTACGAATTTCAGAACTTTAGGATTTCAGAATTTCAAGATTTCACATTACGAGATTACAGAAATTCCAGATTTCAGAATTACAAGATCTCAGAATTTCAAGGTTTCAGAGCTTCAGAATTTCAATAATTCAAAGTTTCAGAAAACGTTTTCCTCGGATTCACAAAAATTTCCCGATTTCCAATCCTTAACTTATACACCTATCGCTTATCGTAGTTAATTTCCTAGTGGGGTTTTCATTTGTTTGGCGCCTGTGTTGATATGGCATTCGACATTGTACACTTTTCCCACGTATATTATTTCGTTTCTCTCTCTGGGTCTCTTCGTCTTACACACTATTTCATCTGATTCTTTCACCGCGCCTATCAATCAAAAAACAATATAAATATGCGATCCGATGCAGAGATAATCGAGGAGGAGATGAAGAAAAAGAGGGAGGATATGCCATCAACGATTTCTCTCTTTTATCACTTCCAATGAGAAGTGAATGAAAAGAGGAAGAAATATGAATACGAAACCAATTAGCCTACATCTAGTTTTCATTTTTCTTTTCATCCTTCCCCCATTTTATGGGTCATATTGATGAAAGAAATGAAATGAAGTGTGTAGTTGGAAAGTGCATTCGAATGTGGCAATTATATTCGATGAGGCACATAAAAACTAGGCAAAAGTAGGCGAAACGATAGAAGAATAACAATGCAGAAGTTTGTGATAAAATAACGAGAGGAAAATTGCACCTATTCGGGAACATAATGATAGTGTGAAAAGAGAGAAAATGATAATCAAATATACTTACCTCATTTGTGTGCAGTGGCTCAACGAACAGCAGAAATGAGCATGTTTGAACGATTGAAATCAATGTTGAAGTTGCCAGAATAACGTAGAAAGGAAGAGAAAAGAAGGCGTACAATGAGAATACTGCCAGAACAGCAGGGAATAAAGATTCGTAACCGGGAAGGGAGAAGATGACGTCTAGCAGTAGAACAATACCAGCAAGAATTTGGAAAGCGGTGATACGAAGTGGACGGAGCACATTGAATATGATGGTTACTGTAGAGAGAAGAAGTATTGCAGCTGTCCAAAGAGCATAGAATCCAGGGATGTGGCCAAGTGTTCGAAGGAATGCAGAACCAGATGTTACGAAGAGTACTATTCGGATAAGTCTGGAAAAATTATCAAATTATTACTGTTTTTTTTTTTCGAAATTGAACACTTTTAGAATTCGAAATGATGTCAGCATTCCAAATCCCTAAAATGTTTCAAAATCCTAGATACTAATCTCTCTCAAGTTCTCACACGATTCTACCAAGATTCCCATAAAACTTCTTTCCCATCACCTTCAAATATCTTCTTCTTCTTTTGATTACCCACCTGGCACTAGCCGTATGCCTCCAGTTCAGGTAGGACTGTTCCAGCCATTCACTGGAGAATCCCATGGAACTGACGACCTGGATGACCACAGGTTTGATCTGAAATTAGGATGGTTTTTTTGGGATCAAGATGAAAGAGGATCAGTGGTTCAGGTATCGGTGATTGAGATGACACACACTAGCACACACAAAAATGAAGGAGAAGCTTGAAGAGAGAAAGAGAGGGAGAGAGAGATAGAGAGACAGAGAGAAGAAGGTCTAAGAAGTGACCGATGGAAGAGAGTAGAAGGCGCGCGCCACCACCCTGGAGGGTGTCCCCGCCCCTTGACTGTGACCTGTCTGTCGTCTCGCAACCGAATTGAACTGTCTAATACTTTGGGTTATCTGTATGAATGTCTGCGTGTCTCTCGATCAAACACTATTTCTCTATGGATGCTGATTGAATGAGAGACAGAGGTGCACTACGCGGGTTTCATTTCTCTCTGTCTCCCGCCGGGAACAGAAGCCTTTGAGGAACGGAAAGAGAAACCGCCAGGATGATATGTACAAGTGAAGAGGGGAACCAAAGAGCAGGAAGAAGTCAGAAATTGGGCAAACACTCGGATATTTGGAAAAAAACGGATTGGATTACTGAGAGAGAAGGAGGAAGTCAGCCAATTTGTAGGTATCAAGTGGTGCCAAATGTTTTGGCAAATGCAACCTAAAGTCGTTTAATAATTGAACTATTGGTTTGATTGAGTATAATAGGAACTTAATTTATCATAAAAACGAATAGCAAAGTTTGAAAACTCATTAAAATCACTTAAAGAAAAATATAGACGTTCACTATCTCTCCCACCGAACTGAAGTTTGAAAAACGTCGGAAATTGAGTGAAAGAATAGGGTGTGAAGTAGATTTGCAACGAGTGAACGAAACGATGAACAACACACTTTGTCTTCTCAATTCACTTGGACCAGATGCTCCAAGGGGCAGTCAAAGGGACCACAAGATGTGCTCTTTTGACTTTTATTGTTAATGAACTGTGTTTGAACAATCGGATTCAATGGGAGAATTCAGAATGAATCTTGGAACTATATTTCACTTTTCAGAACGATGAGTCTTTGAGAATGAGGAACTACAGTATTGGACATAATGACAGTGACAATTTTTGTTTAAAATGACCAGATTGAAAGCTCTCAACAATTCAGAAACAATCCGTATATTTAGTGTAACTTTTTAGTTTCAAATTTCCGCAAAACAGGATTTACGGTAGCTCTTAAATAAGTTTAAGTTTTTTTTAAAGTTAGTGGGAGTTTCAGAAAATGGCAGAATGTTCCAGGCTTTGTTAAGAATAAAACAAAAGTTCCAAGTCGGGGTTCAGTGAAATTTCGTGTGTGATTGTGTATAAGTTAGGGGATTCTTAAGCTATAAACTCTAGTCTTGAGATCTAATCAGAATTTTGGAAAGTTATTGAAGAAGATCGAGGAATGTGAAATTCAAAAAGTGAGAAATGTTCCTGTTCTAATATTCATTGAATCCGAAGTTCGAAAATTAGGAAATAAGTAAACTCGAAAATTCAGAAGTTCGGAAAACCAAATAATCGAAGTTTCGAAAACTTGGAAGTTCAAAAATTCAGAAGAGAGATAGTAAACTAATCTGATATTAATTGTCCGAAATGCGCTTGTTCCCATCTCATTCTTTGAAATCTGTGTTTTCCAAGCAAGTATAGAATATTCGTGGCAGATGTTCTCCAGCAGGAAAATTGGCAATTTATACAAAATCCTGCATAAAAAAGACCGAAAAACAAGAAAAGAAAAACTATTAAACTTTTTGAGTCTCACATTTTTTAAACCAATTTTCAGACTCAAAATACTAACGAGTCAGCTAAGTTAAATTATCGCCAACCGAACCAATAAAACATCTGAATTCGTCTTTCTCTTTATTCTCTTTTTTCTCATTCCTTCCCCTAACTCTTCTTTTTCTTCTTCGGTGCAATAAAGTATATTTCCTGGCTAGAAGATTCCAGAAGAACCTCCGCTAATTTTCATGTGTATCGGAGGATACTAAAATTGCTCAAAAGAAAAGTAAAAGAAGGGAAAATTGAGATTCCTAGTGACACCAAATGGTGATGCTAGGAGTACAAATCGTTTGGAAAAAGCCAACTTTTGTTCTCTTTTTCCTCTCGAACGCTAAAAAGGAAAAAGAAAGAAAAATGGAAAAAAAAGCGATCTCATAAAAAACGAAAAGAAAGCTCTTCTCCTTTTCATCATTTGTTGTTCGGTGAGGACCAAAAACGGGAAGGGCTTCGAAACGAAGAAGAAGAAAAGGATGTGTCCCTCCGTTTACGCCAATTTAGGTAATGCCCAAATGCTGTGTGTTCGTTGAAAACTATCGGAGAAAAAGAAGAAGACACCATCCGAGAAGAAATTAAATTCGCCTTCCAATTCTGTTTACCTTCTGGTCCATTTCCCTTTTTTTGTCCTCACTATTCTTGTTTCTTTTTAAAGATTTTTTTGGGTCTAAATCCAATAAGGGTTTCGAACTATTATACTTAGTTAGAAATAAACTTTCCGAGTTTAAAACTTTTGCTTATCTGTTTGGGAAAGTTAGCATCTTCAAAACGATTGCATAGGCTCTGAGAAAATCTTACTAGTTCGCTTTTTTAAAGCTTTATCAAATATCCAAAGTTTATCACAGAGGAAACCCTAGATCCATTTTTCATATCCTAGTGGATACCGATTTTTATCAAAATCTTGAAGCTATCATCGGGATGGGTACTAAATAAGTTTTTCAACATTGTGAGGGACAAATAGAACTGTGAATAGTGATGCACTGATTACAGGATTGAGCAAAATTACCCGAAATTATAAACAAAGGGTATAGCTTCAGACAGAAATGTATTGGAAGCACAAGAATTGGTAGAAAATTAGTTTTACATTTGTTTCAAAGCTACTGAAATTTTCAAAGCGATTCCTCAAGTGTATTATGCTTATCGAAAAATATTGTTATGCTTATCGAAAAATGAACTGCGTAATGTTTCTTGTGGTTTTAATGATAAAGCAATTTTGACAAGCGATAACTCAGCTCGAAGTTGATCAATCAATCTGAAACTAGGCCTACTTATGTGTTATTTGATTTTGAGCTCTTCAAATTTTAGCTCAGTGCAAACTTTAGTCCGGATATTTATGCGTCACCCTGTATTAGATTGCAAAGTGAGAAAACAAAATGTTGAAATATTGAGACTTCAATCAAATGAAATCGAAAAACACAGTTCAAAATATTCTATTGGATATTTTCTATCATATACTCCTACACCACCCAGTCGAATCGTCCTCCAGTTATGGATTCATCCATGTATAATAATTGGCTTACTATCCTTCCATCCCCCTCCTTCTCTCCATTTCTATTCCTCATAATAGTATTTTCAATGGGTAAGCAGATCGAGTTTTGTAATTATATGGTACAATCAACAAAATAAATAAAAGACGAACAATCAGAGAAAACATGAACTCAATCATCGTTGAAAGTGGCAATTAGAAATCTTTTATGAGACCAAATACTTCAATTCGTCTGATTTTTCCCCGAAAATCTGTTTTCTGAAATTTGAATTTCTCGAAGAGTGTCGTCTTGATTTTATCTCGCGAGTTGTTCAGTTACATCCGTTCAGCTTTGTTTCGCAAAAAAATCTAAACTAAAATATTCGGCAACAGAAATTCCGGTCGTTTAAAAATGTAGAATTGTCCAAGGATATTCTGAAAAGAGAGGAAATGGATCAATTTGTGTCTGCAGTAGATGCGATAAAGGTGGAAACATTCCATTTCGATCCGTTCCCCATGCTGCTGGAAAACTTATCAAAGGACGATTCTTTAAATTTCAATCTGCCACCTGTTCTTGTGAAACCTGATCTTATGAAATTCTTATCGTATCAAGTTTGTTTTCACCCACAATATTTACCTTTTCGTTCCGTTTTTTAGGAACATCCGCAAATAAAAATTAACCTTCCGTCAATATTTTTGTGTTACAAGATGCTGTCATAATGCTTATCAATACCAAGTCGGTTACTATAAAAGCTCTCAACTGGTACTGAACATCAGAAAGTCTCAAAATGTCTTCCTTCAAACTCTTCTGCCTCATCGCTATTCTTCTTGTCTCGGTTTCTGAAATTTCTGGACAAGATCTTCATTCTTGTACCATGATGGATACAAACCCTCAAGCTGCTAGAGCTGCATGCATTGCCAGCTGTGCTCTTCAGGTATAAGATATTCCAGGAGGATTTCGTAGATAAAATATTTTCCAGCGTTGCTCAACTGGATACTGTGAGAAAAGAGGAAACCGTCCAACTTGTGTCTGCAGCAGATGCACTTAAACCTAAAACCATCCGATTCAACTGGATGTTTGACAATCTAAAATTATTGAATCCCATTTTGATCTGACTTTCTAAATTTTTAAAATACTCATGTGGTTTACAATTTTATGAATATTCATTCTTAAAAACTTGGTAATCACAGATTTCTGAGATCATTGTATTGCGAGCTGTGTTCGTCTGGTATAAGATATTCCAGAAGGGTTTCGTAGTCAAAATATTTTCCAGAACTGATCAAATGGACATTGTGAGAAGAGAGGAAATAGTCCACATTGTTCGTGCAGCAGCTGCAAATCAAGAAGAAGAAAAAAACTGCCATATTCATCGGCATTCTTTAAAGTCGAGAAAATTGGATTCCATTGGGCTCTGATTCTTCGAATTTCAAAATAATCATGTGGTTTACAATTTTATAAACATTCATCGTTGAAGACTTAGTAGTAGAACAGATTTCTGTGTTAAGATTGAAAATATGATATTTATTCCAAGAAAAAAAGAGAAGAAAAAAAAGAGATAAAGGGGAAAAATTAAGTCTCCCGACGTGCCAGAAGTTTTGAAAGACCTAAATTGGAGGAAACATAAATTGCCTAGATAAAATGTGTGATCTTAACACAGAATGAATCGAATATTGGAAACATGGTCTTATTTGTCAAGTAAAAAATGGTAATAATCAAAAAGAATATCTACTCAGTGAAACTCAGATAATGGAAAAGTAAACTACAGTAATCAAAACTTCAAAGTCTGCTCTTTTTGCCCATTCCGTTCTTTTTCTTCTTTTTCATCGTTGTCCTTGTCATAATCGTCCATGAAATAAGCTCAAAGTTGACTAAAAAATATGATTACTGTAGTTTGAAAATAGGGCTACTGTATTTTAAATATGGATGGGGTAACTGTAGTTTGAGAGTGTATGGGATTACTGTCTTTTTATGAAAAGGAAAATTACTATAGTGTCGAAATATATGTATAGGGTTACTGTAGTTCAAAAACACTGTAGAAGATTAGTGTAAAAATTCGAAACTTTCAAAAAAATGTAAAAAATTTGTATGTTAAAAAAACTAAATCAAAAAATTTCAATAAAATTCAAAAATCTGAGAAAAACTTCTGAAGTATCGAAAGTCCCCAAAAAAGCGAAAAATTGAAAAATCTCAAAAATTCGAAAATTTCAAAAATCCCAAGAAAACCGAAAATTCGAAAAATGCCAAAAAATTGAACGTTTAAATGAAGAAGTTCAATGAAGAAGTCAGAGAAGAAGTTGTTGAAGTTGTTGTTGTTAAAGGTGGGGGGACTGGAGATTTTTCGGGGATTTTTTGGAGCCAGGGTATGCATTCTACCGTAACGGTGTACCATGCTTAATGTCTCTCTACGTACAGCTGTCGTCCTTTTTTTAGTAAAATCGATACGTAACTCACCTGAAAATGCTCCGATCAGGCTCAAAACTACAGAGAAGGTGTGTCATGCGTTTCCTAACAAAGCAATTACAAAAATTGGCAACTCAAGATCACATTTTTTATGCTAACTACTTATCTTGAACAATAGATGGTTTTCCAATGGTTGAAAATATTTTTTCTGATTGTGAGTTTTGAAAATAGTGTACTCAACTTGTTAGGCAACTCACGACACACGTTCTCTAGTGATTTTAGACAGATTGAATAATTTTTAGATGAGTTGCGACTCATGATATCAATTTTTCTCCTATGCTCACAAATTGGAAGCCCATTTTAGGATCGATGCAAGTATTTTTGGTGATTATTGGGGCACATTTCCTTTTCAATTCACTTTGAGGGATAATGGTGTTCAAAATTAGGTTTTTCGAACTTCGAAATCATTTTTTTGATTGAAAAAATTGTGAAAATCTCTAAATTCAAAAATTTCAGTTGCCGAAATTGCCGAAATCGGCAACGGCAATTCGGCAACTTTTTCTTCATTGCCGATTTCGGCAACGGCAAATCGGCAACAAAAATTCGACAATTTCGGCAATTTCGGCAATCGGCAATTCGTTGCCGCACAGGCCTGCTTTGTACCCCTGATCAGCCTGTCATGAGTTCAACTCCTCGAGGGGCACGTTTGAACGGAATTTCGAGAAATTTATTTTTTTCATGTCCCACCACCTTTAAAGTTGTTGAATTGTTGATACCGAAAATTCAAAAATTCCAAATTTAATGAAATTTGACAAGACAAGAATTTGATAAGAGAAAAGAGAAAAAAGAATGTGAAAAGATGTCAGGAAGTCGGAAGTTTGAAGTTGGAAATCGGTGTGTTCCAGAAGATCCTATGCTGCCAGGAAGCTCAGCGTACGCTATCAATTGCTATTTCATTTTAGTTTAAAATTTGATTTCGGTCATTTGGTAAAAGGGGGACGTTCAGTGGTAAACACCTAGCCATGAACCCCAAACAATGGCGACCTGAGGCCTTTTAGTACTTTTTTTACTTAAATGACGTCGATCAGTCTTCAGAAAAAAGGAAATAGCAATGAGTAGTGCATCCGAAGCTTCCTGGCAGTGTGCAGCATCCAACTCTTTCCAGCATCCGACGTCCTCCTTGTCCATTCGCTGCCGCTCACGGTGACCATCGTCGAGCTTTGAAGTAGAGAGGCCAGAAGTCTTCGCAGAATTGACCGGATCCCTTGTTTTCCCAGCTGCCCTGGAAGCTTGTGACAATTCGGACTCCTCATCGACTCCTCGGTCCGACTTCTCGTTGATTTCTCCAGCTTATATAGCCCCTGTAGATCAGATCTGGAGATTAGATAAGAAAAGAGTTCATGAAAGTTGTCAGCACGCTGAATTTCTGATTCCTTTTTGTAACAAACAGGAGCTTCCTACGTGATGTACCGTAGCGAAATCGGTGTTTGCACCTCAAGCGTAGCTTCCGGAAATTGAACCTCCGATCATTTTATGTGGGGATCAGACATGAGCGGAATAAAAATTTTGAAAATCCGGAATAAGGAATAAGGAAGAAGGAATGAAATTTAAAAATCAGGAATAAGGAATAAGGAATGGAAAAACACCCGGAATAAGGAATAAGGAATAAGGAACGAAAGAATTTCCGAACGAAGGAAGATTTCTTTTTGTCTTGAAAAACACTGTTTATTTTAAAACACGAACAACGAAGACAGAACTCACAAACCGAGACACAAACAAGAAAAATGGAGAGGGAACTCTCAAACTAGAATTAAAAAACTAAAAAACAAAATCATAACTGTGAATTATCAGTTTTCCAGGTCATAATTTTTCAAATTGATCGAACAAAAAGTTAATTTGTCAACAGTGTCGTTATTCAATCGGCTTCTTTTCGGGGTACAGATGAGGCCCGATACACTCGTTTTCTGTTCTGACGAAGAATTCGTCAAACTTGCTCCGTTTTTTAGACATTTTTTCTGAAGTATTTAGTAATTGTAAAAACCTAATTTATTTCGAAAAAAAAACACTGAGAAAAACGCATCTTTTCCAAGATTTCAAAAAAAAATTTCCGAAAAACCGTGCAAAGGTGCTCGCTGAACAAAATGTTACGCGGCAATTTAGAGCGTTCAAATTTTTTTCCACAGTTTTGAGAATTTTTTTCTGATTTTTGATAGAAAAAGTTTTAAAGTTTTGAAGAGGAATAACAAAAAAAATCAGGAAGAAGGAAGAAGGAATAAGGAACAAAATTAAAAAACTCGGAAGAATGAATAATGAATAAGGAATGAAAAATTTAAAATCCGGAAGAAGGAATAAGGAATAAGGAATTCCGCTCATGTCTGGTGGGGATATTCTAGACAATACTCGCTTCTTCTTCGTATCTTTGATAAGAATGGCTTCCCACCGGATGTAAATTTTTGTTCTTAGGAGATTATGTTGATCGTGGACGTCAGAATATTGAAACCATCTGTCTCATGTTATGTTTCAAGATCAAGTGAGTTACAAGATCTTTTCGATTATTGTAGAATGTGATATTCAAGTACCCAGAGAACTTCTTCATGTAAAAAAATGTTCAAAGAATTCTGTGAATGCAAAGTTTTCTATCTAGGCCTGTTTTACACCCTACAAAGATTTTAAAGTCTAGTCGTTTTCGAATATTTTACCTACAGTAATCCTTTCAATTTCGAATAATATTCCAACAATAATCCTTTCCCATTCTCAATATTTTTTCCCTACAGTAATCAACAGTGTTTCAACTGGTTCATTCTTCTTGCTCATGTACCAAATCAGAAAATCATGAAAGTATCATATTTATCGAAACGAATAAAAATAAATAGAAAGTTAGGTCGCCTTCTCTCTCCAAAACACATTGGCCAACATCTCTGCTGGAGCATCCTCCCAATCTTTTTCCTTTCCATTTTTGTCGTAAACGACAACGTGAGGAACATATCCATCCCACTGAAACAATAAATATAATCTACTTCAAATACAAAAAAAAGCAGGTTACATGTTCGAGGCGATCACGATGAACTCCTTCGATCTTGTTGATTGTCGTCAGTTTTTCAAGGGACAAGTACTTGTTGTCTTTGCAATGTGTGTGAATCTCATTATAAAACATTTGAGCATTCAACCGTTCCGACGGATTCAATTTGAAAAGTTGTTTCATGATTTTCGTCATGAACTCTCCAGCAAGTTTTGGAATATCCGGGTACTTTCCAGCTTGGACCAAAGCCGTAACACCATCATTAGCAACATGACTGTACGGTCGAGCTGCGTTTGAAAATATTTCCCAGACAAGAATTCCCATTGACCACATGTCTGATTGTTTACTGAATATTCCTTTTCTTCCAATTGTTTCTGGAGCCATCCAACGAGCCGGGAAATTATTAGATTCACTGAGACCAGAATCATCTCGATTGATTTTGAGACCCAAACCGAAATCCGATAGTTTCACAAATCCATTGACAGAGATCAAACAGTTACGAGCAGTATATCACGATGAGTGATTGACATGGATTGGATGTATTTTAAACCAGCTGATGCATCATGAATAAAAATCATTCGTTCTTGAAAACTGATTTCATCGTTGAATTTGGTCAGATGTTGTTCCAAAGTGCCTCCATTGCAGAATTCGATGATAAGAAGAATAGGTACTCGATCGCTGGCAATTCTGAAAAACTGAAATTTTTAACTGCACCGATTTAAAACTGTTAACGAAACTCACCGCAGTGATATTGGCATGACGTAGGTGACTCATGAATTCTACTTCCTGAATCATCTCCTTTTTTTACCTTATTCGCTTCATTGTTTTTTGATTCATCGAGCATCTCATCCAGCTTTTTTGAATTCTTCATCGCAACTTTCACCGAATAATTATCCAGTTCCATCTTTCCACGAAACACATCACTGAAGTTTCCACTTCCGAGCAAATCCTAAATTTTTACTTTTCTCGAGCTCCTGGGCTTTCCTGGACTAACTTTTTTGGTGTTATATGAGATGCGATCATGACAAATCAGATGTTTTCCTTTTGAAATTCCGCGTTTCAAAAAGAAACCAATTCCGAGTGGGTGAGTTTTGTAGTGATTGATCAGATCAATGATTTTATCAAACTTCAAGCTATCCTTCAGAATTCCCAGACTCCATTTTTTATCATCCGGATCTGCTCTATATTATTCTAGATTACTGTATGATGTTCAAAATAATAGATGAATCACCTTATTGTCAAATGACTGTGAATCCGTTTCTTATTGTAGAACGATAGAAAAATTCGAAATCGCTCGTTCGATTATCAGTGGCTCGAATCAAGTAGTCTCCAGCTCTTGTCAGTTTAGTCTCGACTAAATCTCTTGCAGCTAGGCCATGATAAAAGCAGACGCCGTCCAATGATCGAATCTTTTTCAGAATGTATTCGGGTAGCTTGCTGGTTAGTTTCAGATCCGCATCATCTAGAGCCGTGAACATCGCTTCCGATTTCTCTTCGCTCCTGTCATGCTTTCTACTTTTACAGCTTGATTGTTCTAACGATTTGCTGCTGGATTGTTGTTCCGACTCCCTCGTCGATGACGAATTTTCCTGAATTTTCCCTGTTTACCATGTTAATTCAGATGACGTTACCGATGGAGAACCACATGTTGGACGCCGCATTATAGACTGCACTAAATTAACCAATTTTCGATTTTCAATGAAATAATTTGACTTATTTTCACGAAACACAGCTTCCTTCAGAAAACGTGGCACTCAGTGGACAAGAAATCACCTAGCGCTAGCGTAACCTAGTCTAGAAAACTCTTGAAACTGGCCTAAAGTTCATAAATTCATTAGATGTCAAACCTTTTATTTGATCCGCAATTAAAATTCTGAAATGAGTGGCATGGTGCAAATTACCTAGAAAATGGGAAAGATAAAGTCTACAAAATATGAGCAATCCGTAGGGGAGATGCAAGAGCCAAGACACACATAAAATAAATACAAAAAATGGTGATATACGGGGTTTTAGAAATTGAGACATACAAGAACGAGAGAGAAATTTTACTGTGTGAGCTAGTTGGGACGAGAGAATGGAAGGGGGAACGGCAGTTGTGAGTGTGGTGAATTGTGTGGTAGCTATATTAACATATATACATGAATAGAATGAGCGTGAGGTCTTGCAGGTTCTAGAAACAGATTCTTTTGAACGAATCACAGTTAGTGACAAAAATTCAAGTTACAAAATCTAAACGAGAGGAAGAAGAATGATCCTCTCTTTAAAAAAAACACGGGATTGACCAGTAGAAGAAAACGACACGAACACCAAGTTGCGTAACATAGAAATCTAATGAAACATACAGTAGTTAATAAAGGCTACACAATGAGTTAAAGGATATGAAAAATTACATGTGACAGGAAACAAGAAAAAGAAGAACTGATAAAAGAAATGGGTAGTAATGGTTGGGAGAAAAAAAAGGGAATCAACCTTTCACGGCTTGTGAAGAGCTATGCCTGCTAAACTCGCCAGGTGAAGGACGGGGGGACGAGATCGAGTTGGAAGAAGATTTACACGATGAGGGTACTGGTTGAGATCGAGTTGGTGATGATATCGAAGTCAGCATATTGAGTGATGAAGATGATGGAGATGATGCATGTGGAAATGTTGGACCACAAGACGTCGAGTCAAAGGACGACATTTCACTCAGAGATGCTGTTCTGAATACTTTATGGTATTAGTGAGGGTTAATCAACGAATTCGAACTTTTGAAAACGGATTATTTGAATTTTGGGAATTTCTTGAAGATGTTCTTAATCTTCTTTTGTTTCGGAACCTTGAGAACAGATAAATCTTTTAATGGATACTCTGACACATTTTGAACATTAGGAACGCTCAAGTTATCGATCAGTTCCGGGATGGTTTCTTTTCTTGGACTTGAGTTTGTAGGTGTTGTTGAACCGCTGCAACCGGCATTAATGTTTATAGATCAGCAATCATTATCAGCTGGTTCAACTTTCCAAGTCATTAATTTAACCGCCCCAAACAAAAGCTTACCTATTTAGTCTTGGTTCTGGCTCATGCATCGATTCGTAGCACTTATCACATACTCTCTTCTGTACACTCTGCCCTTCTTCCACAACCGCAAATCTCTGCTTCGAGCATTCTTCACAAACAACTCGTCCACAGTTCCGACAATGATGTTGCCTATCCTCTTGATACACACTCATTTTGTTGAACTCCTTTTTACAGAGACAGCAATTTGGAGCCTCCGCTTCCCATGTTGTGTTAGGTCTGAAGTTCGGCAACTCTCTATCTGGATCCATGATTGATAAATCTGACGACGCTCGTTCCAGAGATGCAACGTCAATATCACTGTCGTCTGCGTCACCTCTGATTGGGCTGAGCATTTTCTCGATATCAGCTCGTCTTCGAAGCTCCTCAATTTGTCTATCACGAAGACGAATCGCTTCTTCACGAGCCTTATTCTTCTTCCTGAGCATTGCTTGTTCTTCATCTTCAAACTTGGTCAAACCATCACAGTCAATAGATTCGAGTCCAGTGATATTCGACTGATAAATCGACTGCTGGTAGAAACTAGTCGACAGCGGAAGGTTTCCTCCTTCAGTCGTTGCAGGAGTTGAAGCATTGGCTAACTGATGGTTCGATCCGTCGACATTCAACGAATTGATACTCTCCGAACTTTTGCTTTTGACCAAATTTCCCGAAGAAGACGATGTGATTGGAGTAGCGCAGCCGGACGACGGCCGCTCATCTTTACTGCCGTAGATCATCTTCAAACGCGGAAATCAAAAAGTTATAATCTGTATCAATTTAGTATACTTACCGTATAACGCTCTCCCTCATCAGCAAACACTTCATGCCAAACACGCAAATTGATGATTGAGACGTTGATTGTTTTCAATGGTCCAGCATACCGCTCATCGTACGACTGATTCACAAACTCTTCATTATGTGCTCCGATATATCTCCAAATTTCTACCAGTGTTGCATCCCATTTAGTCATGGCGTCTCGTTTTTCCTTATGAGAGTTGAATAGGAAAGTACCAAACAGACCAGAGTAGGCATGCTTCGCAAGTTTGATCAAATAAGCATGGGAAAACTGGAAAGCAGTCGGTTGTTCTCGTTGAAGATGTCGCACCGCTTCAAGGAACTGTAGGAAAATCGGACACCGTTCACCACTATCAGACCAGGTAGTGTAGGTACCAATCTGTCGATCGTACAGTTTGTGACCAAAAGCGATCCAGTCTCGTCGAATTAGCTCTTCGAAACCTTCCACAGTTCGGTAGTGTTCATCCAACATGATCTTAGCCAATGTCGTTACTTGAGTAGTTCTATCCCAGCCGTCAGAACAATGCACAAGAACTGAATGCCCTTTGGCCAAATGATCTGCACATGAAGTGGCTTGAACAAGTAGACTGCTCAGATTTGTGAGCCATCCTGTTGCTTGAAGGCTGTTTAATAACAGTTCGTTTTCCTTGACTGGTGCGTGGAGCATGGTACGTATGTTTGTGAATGAGGAACGAACGGCATGGATGTTTGGTAGACCAAGGAATTCGAGTTTGGCTTGTTGGTAGTACTCTTAAACATATTGGTTGGCCTAGTCATGAAATCTTGATAATCACAAACCTGTGTTCTCAAAGCCACCACTTCTTGCTCGGTTGGCGAATGCTGAAGCGTAGCCACGTGCATCCATGATAATGAATTGTTTCCTCTCTTCTCCTTCAATTCGACTTGTTCTCACAACTTCCTCGATGATTCTCTCGTCTGTGGTGTTTCTCCAAGATAAGATTCCAACTTGTGGTTGTGAGCTGCGCAAAAGAACAGCACGAGTTTTGCGGCACCTCCAGATGACAGCAGGGAATCGGCCAATCGATCTGTATGGAGCGCTTCTCTCGATTTCTTCATCAGAGATTCCTTTCGGAACAATCACCTTTTCCGGATAAGTAGCACAAACTCTAGAAATTGCCAAAAATTTCAAAAGTTTATAAAACTCTGAACTTACTTGAAGGTTGAATTAACAGTTGAGATTCGGAAGTGTTCTGACATCCCTAATCGTTCAAAATCGACTTGTGTGATTTCATATGCTACGGAATCAGCTCGTTTCAACCAGGAAGGAAGTTGTCCGCACCGTTCAAGCTCGTCCACCGCTTCAGAGAATGACCATGCGAAGTGATTGACTGTCGCCAAAGGAGCTGTATCGTTTTTTGATGTCCAATCCTGCGGCCTTGTGGCGTAAAGTACTGTTGCACTACGATTCAGTCGCTGGAGAGCGGGCATTATCAGTTGATGGATAAAATAAGCGTCCTTATTGTTATTGCAGTACAAGTATGTTGATCGTCCACCCTTCATTAACAGATGAATGGAATTATCGTTAGAGAGATCCATTGTTTCAATTTCCGATATTGGGAAGATATGTACTCTTTTCTTATCCTCCGAAATTTTGATAGTCACTACCTGAAAAGGGAGCCGTGAGTCGTAATTAGAGATAAGAACTCACTCTGTAATTTGTGACAATGATCGTTCCGCCAATGATCGGCCAATCATTCGCCCCGTCGACTTTTACCCGGCACTCTCCAGGTAACAGCGGAAAATCATTTTCATCTTCTTCTTTTACTGGTGGCATTGGATTTCCAAATTGGTAGTTTGCTTCATGCAATGTCTACAATTTTGAACATTTAAAACACGATTACGGCTTCAGGATAACTTTCGGTAGCAAGAAGACAGTATCTCAACTTTCTAAATTTTCTATCGTCGCCATTTTTCGTACACATTAAACGGGAATAACCTTTGAACTGAGATCGAACTGGAGCACAATCTAGACTAATATAATCGATAATCGAAGTTTCTGCAAGAGAGGGGTAGGTTCTGAGCAAACGCTTGCAGAAAATGTTTTGTTTTATTAAAGCCCGTGCCAAGTACACATCCGTTTTTATTTAGCCACTGTGTGAAACAGAAAGCGCACTGTGAAATCAGTTGCAGAGTTTGAGTTTTGGTGATCTTCCGCAGAAAGAATCAATCTATAAAAAACAATGATTGAAAGTTAATTAGAATACGATGTATATTATTGCTGATTGGATTGTGATTTTTTTTCTATTAAACTCTTTCAAGAAATTCTTTCTCCGGCTCTATTTTCAGCAAACACATGATTTCGACCTTCGACTTGGAAGTCGACATAGTCCTGACCCCACTCTTCTCATCTTGATATCGAAACCATTTTCTCCGATGCCCTCTGCTGATACACTCTTTGTTCTCTCTCGAATCACGTGCCGCCACCTCCTCTTGATTCTTTGAGCCGTTCGGTTTATGAACCGTAAACACTTTAAAATCGCTTCAGTAAACCTGGTAAACCTCTGGTAATACATCACTGCTCATGTCTGTTTACATTTCCCTTTTTCACAGTGTTCTCAGCGGTCAGCGAGGCATAGGGATCGGTCCGATTGAGGAGGTGGATTATAATTTAGTTCGGAACACTGGATCAGGCTAACAAACAACTAGTGAGAACTGACGCCTGATTTTTGGTCACGTGCCGACACATTCTTTGTATGGTATCTATTTTCAGACATATCATTGGTGTGCGAATTGGGGAATCAAAGTAGATCTTTGACATTATGATTCAACTTTGGAAAACTTTTTAAAAATTTGTTTCAAAAAAGTCAGCAACTTCTCAATCAACTAAAATTGTTGACTGTTGCGTTTTTTTCACTTTTCTTCTGAAAAGCGAGTTTGAAAACGCCGAGAAGACAGTAACTTCTCTACGTTTATCCATCAGCAATACTATTTTCATCTATCACTATTTGGCTGTCCAAAATTACCAAAACAGGTGATGGCTAGAGTGATGTCTAATAAGAGGGCAAAGAGAAAAAAAGGGAGTGGACAGAGAAAAGTCACTTCTCGAGAAACTTCAAATGAAGTGAAACCTCCTACTGAAACTTTTACGATTTTGATGGGAATCTAACAGACGACAAACCAGCACTGGTTTTAAGAAAATGCAAAACTACAGCCCTTGCAGTTTGGTTTTGAAAAAATGAAGAATTATAGGTGGTAAAATGACAGATCCAATTTCAAATGAACATGAAAATCGTTTAAATGGAGACGACAAACGGCGGCTAGATGTTTTTGACGTTTAAATTATAGATCATTTGAAAAAAAAAGAAGACCATTCAGCCTTCTTTTACGACTTCTTCTTCTTCTTCTTCTTCTTCTTTCACATTTCGTGGGAAAACGAAAAAACAATTGTGACGAAAGTTGAATGTACTTCTTGAAATTAGAAGGGGAGTCGAAGAAATGCAAAAAAATAAATTCTCGAAGAAAAACTCTGGTCATAAATATCAGCAATCAAAAACTTGTTTTGAAGTCAAAGTTAAACAATTGTGACATTTTTCCTATTTTGCAATATTATGTTTAGTGATGCCCACATTGTTTTCAGACAATAAATTTAGGGATTATTAAAGAAAATTTGAATTGAGAAACTAGGCGTGGTACTTGGTCTTCAGCTTAAATAGTCAAATAAAACTCAAAGAATTTTAGGCTTTCGTTGCAATGATTTTTCAGTGTTATCAAATCTTCATTATTTTGTCACTTCCAATTATTGCTATTTATTAATCAACAACAGAAGGAAAGAGTAGTTTGGTTCCCCCTTTCTTACCCTCCACCTGACTCTCGCTCGTCTCTTATCTTCATGGCCTTGTTTCTTTCTTTTCCCTATCTGCATGGTTTTCCTATAGGCACATGCACGTGGTATAAGAAATCGTGGCGACGACAGAAGAAGAAGAATTTTGATTAAAAGGGTCGGTTTCAGATTTACAACTTCTGATGAATACAAACATACCGCTGTTGCTCCATCTACGGAAGGCCCAAGGGATTCGTTTTGTACGTCCACGAAAGAAGCTCCAATCTGGGACTCAATGAATGATTAGAATGAAGTTGAAGTCTGAATATACTTACTAAATTAGCCGGACTGGTGACGTTCATCGGAGTTCCTATGTACGACATGTCCTCACTCGGGTCAGAATCGACCCGTTCGGTTCGGCTACCGCCGATCTCAATCGCTTGAGAGGAAGACCCAGTCATAGAGAATCCTGTATTATCTGGAAATTGAAAGAGAACATAATTGACATTTTTCAGTGAGCAAACACATACAGATTGTAAAATATAACGGGATAAAGGATTGAAAGCTCGCTCTCTCTATCTTCGTAGTTGTATTCTTTCTGCTTTGCGTTGAATATGGTGTTCACTGAAACGATTGAATTATCGGTGAATGGCAAAGAAGAGGAGAAATGTTGCGAACACGAAACAGATACACTTTTGGCAAACAATGCTAAAAGGAGAGGTTTTTTTGTTGATAAAGGGAAATCGAAAAGAATTGTTAGATAAGGAAGACTTTCATAGAATAACTTTCAGCTGACAGCGTTTTTTTTTTCTCGGTGGAGTTAAATTTGGATAAATCGAGAGAAAAAAACAAAATATAGTTCGATTTGTTCTACGAAAAGAAATTGGTTGAAAATAAATATGTCGATTCGAAAAATGATGTTGAAAACAACAAAAAAGTGTTCATTCGCGAATCCGTTTAAGAAAATATGGCATCGTTGGCTTTCCCAAAAATTTAAAAAAAACGATGTCGTTTGGCATAGGGAAAAAGAGAGACAACGCATGAAGAAAGCTCCGGAAAATGGTCGATTCGAGAAATTTAAATAACTTTAAAATTGGCGCCTTCGCGGGCTAACAAACTGTTGTTCGCGATTTGTAAATCAAAAACTTAATGACAGTCACACGACGAGTTTTGCGAAGTTTCAAAAGAAAGAATATTCAGAAAACTAGATAATTCAGTGATTTTTTGGAAATCATTGATGGCTAGAATGTGCAGAAAGAGCGTATTGGATAGTGTGGGTAGAGGCGTGTGGAAGGAGAAATAGTGTAGATATCAAAAGGAGACGCAGGCACTTCGAGAACCGTCTACGAGGCGTTTCGTTGCGGGCTCTCTCTTTTTCTCTCCGCTTCTCTCCACTTCGATCAATAGGCGCGTGCTGTCTCTCGTCATCTCGCAGTACTCTCTACTTCTTTTCTTTTCCCTCTCTTCGAATCTAACACTGTCTCCTCAAAGCAGTCACATGTGTTCTTCCCTTTTATTGTGTTTCTCTCATTCTGTTTGTTATTATTCAGTAGGGTACCGGGCAAAGGGGATGGAAAAAAGAAGAAGAAGAAGAGAGGAAGAAGGCTTGCGGGTTCGCCGAAAGAACACAACACCACTCTCTCTCTCTAATCCGAACTTCGTCTCTACTGGTTCTCCAATATTTCTTCCAGTCGTTTTTTTGTCTCCTCATCCTCTTCTTCGCTTACTCACCCAGTCAACTGTTTATTAGTCGAGTGGTTGCTGCTTGACTGGCGCTGTCAGAGGAAACCGAAACCCAAAACAACCTGGAAAAAAGTTGAGAAACAGGTTCACACTTTTATTGCAAAAAGATATAGCGAATACAAATAAAAGTTTGAAAGTATTGCATCGGGAGGAGATCTCAAAGGCCATTGAAGCAAGTGTACAATTTTAGGTCAAGTTGATTGGGAGAGCTTGTTACCAGAACTCATGAGACGGGTACATTAGTTTGTTGGAAATATAAGACCTCATCATCTGTTCAAGGAACTTACATTAGGGAAAGATTGTTGAACTTTTAAAAGTCAGAAGATTCAAGAGGGGTGGGGGAGTTTATATACAGTATTTATCAAAAAAGAATTGAAGATTATATTAGGTTTTCGTTAGATTACCAAGAGAGTTTTTTCAAACCGTTAAACCTGTAATAGAAGAGCCCCTCTCACTGTCAAGTTTGAGCTAACTTATCTCGGTTCCCGGAAAAGATATCAAAAATGTCTTAGCTGACAAACCACTTCTGATACTGTGATAAGAAATTAATCAGTTGACGAAATTTTCATATCTTTCACAGGAACCGAGAAAAATTGGCTCAAAGTTGAAAGTTGAAGGGCCATTCTATTACACGTTTTACGGTATAATCTTCTGGAAGGAATAATACAAAAACCGTTAAGATACTTATTTGGTCTCGACTGGAGTGATTTGAGCTCCAGTATATTCTTTCGATTGTGGAGTGATAGTCCAAGTGGTTCGAAGATTACGGGCTGCCTCGTATGCTGGTGGAGATGAACTTTCGTAGTTTGGTGGTGGCATGTCAAGAGCCTATAATTTTGAAAGAAATTAGAACACAATTATAGACATTTAGATAAACCATCTTTTGTGGGAGTGGTTTCACAACTTGAATTGCTTCCGGAGCCGGGCCGACCGGGTACTCGTGAACAGTGGTACGGTAGAAGCGTTCACGGAATCGGAAACGACTGTTGAATGGTTCCAAGAGAAGGATCGAAGCGAAGAAGATGAGACGAACGAATGATTCGTATTCAGAGAACATGAATCGGGGAGCGTGAGAGACGAACATTTGGACTGAAATGCAAATTCACCTAATTAAATGGCCTCAAAGAGGAAAATGAATAATTCAGGAGGTCCTCCTTATTTCAAATGCTCCACACTTTTTAAAAATCGCTCTAATTGTAAATATAAATGCCCATCAATATATGATAACATACATTCCATGTAGGCGAGTGGGACGGAGATGATCATTGCGAAAACCTGCAGAGAATGGAATTGCCGGATAGCTTCAGCCTGATCACTCGATGGATCGTGCATGTATTTAACTTTGCAGACTCCGTAGAGGAGAGTCAAAACGAACACGAAATGACCGAAGAGAAGGAAGACAAACGGAAGATTTGGCATGTGTTTCACTTTATCGTGTACATCGAACATTCCATTGTAGAATGAGATACTGAATATCATTGCGACGGCACAAGAAGCTCCGACACGCATTCTAAAATAAAACCTAGAAATGAAAAATTACATCACCCTTTGACTTACGCCAACTCGCATCTAGACATTCTCCGATCTCTTTTGATGCAGCAAACGAGTCCTGATGCCATTAAGAATCCTCCCCAGACGATGAGCATGACGAAAGAGCAAAGCATGATTGATTTGAACACGGAATCACGGAAGAAGATACTGGAAGCTCTTTTTTTTGTTTCTAGAAGAACTCTCGAGAACGGCACGTCACTTCTTGATCAACACAGCATATCCGAGCCACAAATCACCAAACTTTTAATCATATACCAAAAGGCCAGATTGTTTTCTTATTAGATAAACATTTCTCAGAAAATTTTTATTATTGTTATCAATAACAAACGCTACCGTAGTCGATAGGGATACAAACTTTAAGTTTTCTCGATGATGCCATAGTTGGTGAGGTATACGGTAGCATACATTCCAAAGATCACATAACAAAATTAATATTCTGCGAAAATGAGGAAATCTGATTTTCAGTCCATTTTTCTATCTTGCTATCGTAGTTCCTATAGAGCAGTTGCAGAAGTTATGTTGTGTTGAAGAACTTGAGAAAACTCAATATTTTAAAAAGTTGGTAACATTGATCATGTTAGTGCAGTGTAGATACAGAGGATTTCCGAGTTTCCAGATTTCGTTTTTTCCCTCATTTGTCTATTTCTAGATTTTCTGGGCTCAATATTGTCTTCTGAAATCTATCCTATTAGTTACCAACCTAATACTTAGTACTAATACTTAATAATACTTAATACTTAATACTAATACTAATACTTAATACTTAATACTTAGTTGTCAACCTAATATTCGAATTTTCCAAACAATTTGTGCTATGGATTAGTGAATTTTAGAAATTCTGAAATCCAGAATATTTGAATTTTCAAATTTCTGAACTTCCAAATTTTCGAAATTTCTGGTTTCCGAAAGTTCCGAATTTCTGAATTTTTGAATTTTCGACTTCAAGATCTCACACTCAGATGATTCGAATTTCTCAATTTCCCGAGCTTTTCGAATCTTCCAAAATCCCCAACCTTTTGCATTTCAAGATGACTATTTAGTCTGGATTATTTCGTATTTTGATATTCTGAAATCCGGAATACTCGAATTCCGGAATTCGTGATTACATTCTGTGATGATGAGAATTGTTTATCATGTTCCGACAAGAAATCTTTATCTTCTGACTTTCTGATCTTCTGAACTTTGCTCGCACTTTCCGCCAATATTCACATGATCAAAGCGTCATAAATCATTGTGAGAATTCTCATTCAAAACTAAGCCGAATGAGTATAGACATTCTCTACCAGATCTACAGTAATCCGCCATCAGCTCTAACCGTCAAAAACTTTTCACAGTCGAGAAGAAGCGGTCATATAGTAACCCGTAGCTAATAGAGCACTCTTAGATTATCCAATTCAAGGGACTTCACTATGCGGTTAAGGGACTTCACTATGCGGTTGTTTAGATGAGGCCAATCTATACCGCCACCAAATTTCTGGACGGCACTTTTAGGCGACACGTGATTCGAGAGTCATAGCGTTACAGATAACCTAGATCTACTTTCCTCCCTCATTCTTGAACTTACTAATCGAAAGTATGAAGTGTTTCCTTGGCATCCTTGAGCCGAGAAACGTCCAATCCGAAAAGAGCCGAGTTCATGATAACCGGGAAGAGATTGAAGAAATAGGGAGCAGTTGAATATGAAACCAAAACAGCCAAAGGATGTTCTCTATCCTCATTATGAGTCACCGAAATGTGCAACCAAAAGATTGCCAGATCAGCAAAAATGTTGATTAACGAGAAGAAATACATCCTGATGGTAGTGGATGTTTCAATTCTCGAAAATCAACTCAACACTCTCCACACAGCTGTCTTTTGAAGCAGAATGTGGTGTGTTGAGGAGAGGAGGTAGGGCCGGCGGCTCCAATCATGAGATTCATGTTGCCATGGAGACTGCTAGTGTCTCTGCCACAATTATCATTTGACCAGATTCCAGACGAAGAGAATCGACATGATCAACATCGACGTTTTCCACCAGAAGTAGAGAAAATAGTGCGCGTTGCTATGAGACTCTGAAAATTTAATCATGTGGATATCCGGCCGTTTGCTGCAAAGTAGAAGGACAAGAACCATTGAAACAAAATCGTTCATTCTATGATATAGAGACAAAAAAGTGCATAGAATCCCGTAAGAGAAACGAAATGAAGTAGACACAAATTATTAGAAATTACATAAAATAGGGTACAGAAATATACAGAAAACAGGATCTTGAAGAACAAAAAAAGCTAGAGGAAACCTGAAACTGAGCATTTTTAATTTTTCGGTCACCGGGGAACGAGTATGTAAAGGTATTGAAGGGAAAACTGGGAAGAAAATAAACAAGAGATCATTGAAAAAAGCCTGGGATCCGAGAGAAAAGGGGGGGGGGTTTTATATAGAACTGTAAAAATTAGGTTTGACGACGGAATCGAAGTGAGAATCGAGCAGTTCGTCCATTTGGATGGTAGATCACAAAGATTTGATTACTTTCAGATACAGTATCTTCTTTTGGTCGGTAACAACAACTAAATAACTTTGAGATTACAATGGACTCTATAAGTTTCTAGTTGAGATACCATAAAACCTGTAATAGAAGGGCCCCTAACATTTAACTTTGAGCTCAATTATCAAGGGCACGCTCTCCCACAGAACAATTCCGAACTGCAAATTAATTTTTGATCTACAGAAAAAAGTTTGGCGCGATCACAATTGCAGGTCTAAAACCTTAATTTCAGAATTTTTTATCTGATTTTGTGGAGTTTCAAAATGATTCAAATGATTCTTTAAAAATTAATTAGTGGTTATAAATTCATTTATGGTCGTTTTCCGGAAGAAATTATTCCACAAATGACCAAATTTCCAGATTTTTTAAAGGAAAAATGTATCTCCTCTTTCAGTTTTTGACATTTCTAGAAGTTTTACAGCTCAAAAGAACCGCAATAATTTATTCTTCATTTTGTATGGATGAATTTTTGATTCGGTTGACAGAACTTTTTTTATAATTCAAAAACCTCATGAAATTGCACAAAATAGCATTTTTGCGTTGTTTTTTGATTATAAAAAAAGTTTTATCAGACGAATTAAAAATTCGTCCATAGAAAATGTAGAGAAAATAATTGCGGTTTTTTTGAGCTATAGAACTCCTAGAAATGTCAAAAACTGAAAGAGGAGATAGATTTTTTCTATAAAAAACTTTCAAAATTACCATTTTTGACATTTTTTTCTTCCGGAAAACGACCATACATGAATCTATAACCACTAATTAATTTTTTAAGAATCATTTGAATTATCTTGGAACTCCACAAAATCAGATAAAAAATTCTGAAATTATGGTTTTAGACCTGCAATTGTGATCGCGCCAAACTTTTTTTCTGTAGATCAAAAATTAATTTGCAGTTCGGAATTGTTCTGTGGGAGAGCGTGAAGGGTGTTGAAAAAGATATAAAGAAGTGGTCAACTGATGAAATACTTATCATAGTTTACTTTTTGATATCTTTCATAGGAACCGAGGTATATGGGCTCAAAGTTGACGGCTTGGGTGCCCTTCTATCAGAGTGTTTACGGTAAGTTTCTATTCATAATTTTCGAGAAAAAAAACTGTTTCCCATTGTCATTTAAGAGAAAAAACGTTTCGAACGTTTTCTTACAAACATCTTTCCATTAGCCGTTACTCTCGAAAACCACTTTATATCCATTATTAGAATCGCTTCAAAATCTAACCTTCTGAATCCAGTAAGCCTGACATCCAGTTTGTGTTTAATCTCGACGTACGATTGACAACCATACGAACACGGGAATTCACCATCCGAGAGACGGAAACGAACTCTGGAACCATCGGGTACAGAGATTCTCCAATAGCAATGAACATCTCGTCCTTGAGGACTGGACAACGTTTGCCATTGATCAGATGCATGGATTTCACCACCACATGCTGAATATTAACTTATAGATTTGTAAACGAAGGTAAAACAAACGTGATGGCTGAAGTCTACTACAATCGGCTCCTCCAAGTCCTTCTGGACAACGGCAGACGTTACAGTTGTTTGGATCTGGATATCCTCCAGCAAGACAATTCAGATGGTGCCTTCCTTGGCAGGCGTCTGAAATTTTGATTGCGAATGATCGAATAAACTTTTTTGCTAATTCGTTTTTCGTTGAAACTTTTTGGTACTTTTTTTAATATTTCAAATTGCATCTCACTGAAATTAGCTTTTATTCTTTACAAATAAAAAATATCGGATCAGCATACCGTGAACACTCTAATAGATGGCCACTCTATATGTACTTACACTTTGAGCACAATTATCTCAATTTCTATAAGAGATAACCAAAATATGTGAATTGATAACGTGTTGGTGATATTATGACAAACATTATATCTGTTGACCAATTTTTGTTATCTCTCATAGAAATTGAGATAGTTCAGTTCAGTGCAAGTATTGGGTGGTCTTCTATTAGAGTGTCTACGATATTTTCACTGTTTCGCTTTAAAAAACTCACTTGGACAGTAAATATCATTGATAACCTTTGCATCCAAAAATGCCATTTTCTCTGTTCCCATTGTTGTGACATATTTCAATTCCTTTGGAACAATAGTAAAATCAGAAACCTTGACGGCATGTGCAACTGCATGATAATGCATCAAACTACCATAATCATATGGAATTCTTCGTGGCGAGACCTGCCGAATACCAAAAGCTTGGAGCATTGATCGGAACGGCATGAATGAAGCAGTTGCCTCTTCCATCACATTCTTCCAGTTGATTGAGATGTGACGATCACGGTCCGGTCTCTGATGAGTGTGCCAGAAACCAAGGGCGTGTCCTGTCTCGTGAGCAACCACATATTCTTCAGCACATTCTGATCCGATGATGATGTCTTGATGACCTCCGTTTCTTCCGATGTATTCAGTGAAGCAACTGTCTCCTTTCTCTAGCACATATCGGATGGCATCGCGGCTCTGCAAATGTTAACATGAGCCATTTTGTAGACAAAAATCTGATGAACAAGAAAAATAATTAAGACCGTGGGATTGTGGTTTTTTGGTTTTTGCGTCTTGTAGTAGGTTCTAGTAACTGAACTGACATGAATAACTAAATGGGAAAAGAACTGAATATGAAGTTTGAAACAATAAACTTAATGTTGCTCTGTTATACTAGCAGACCTCTGGTCAGAAATTTCAAATTTGAAAAAAGAGAGAATTTAATGAACGCAATTTTTAGAACAATTTTTTTCCAACGCCATCAATTTGATGTACTGCATTTACAGTAATCCTCCAATATTTTTTTCCGGGTAAAGGACTGACATGAATATAAAATTTTAAGCAATAAAACTACCAACAGAACTGGCGGGCATCTGACGAGCCTCTGGCGCGTTTCAAGCCTTCACATAATTTCAATTTCGAAAATAGATCAATCGCACCAAAATATCTAAGAGATCAGGTTTTGATGAACGAAAATTTTTACAATAGTTTTGCTTTTAGATTTCAAAAAGTCGAAAAAATTGGAGTACTGTATCTACAGAAACCCTTCAATAGAGCCACATACCTGCATATTTTCTCTGAACCTCAAACATGTCGACTCTTCCCACATTCGAATCCCGCGCCGGATCAAGCTTTGAAAGTTATCTGAAAAAAAAGAATTATTATTCTCGACACATCATTTTTCTCTCCACAAAAACCATTTCCGGTATCGCATTCCCGAGGTCAAATCGGTCGGAAAAACATATATGAAAAGAGTGGAAATTGCAAACAACCGTGGTAAATTATGTGAAACGAAACGGGCAGGCGACAAGTTTTCAGAAGCAAGGCCGTGTAACACTTCAACCCAATAATACTCGACTTTCAGTTTCTCTTTTCTCTTATTTTCATCGTTGAACTTCTAAGGAAACGTAAAAATGATTTCAGGATGAATCAGAACCATGGATCATTGGTACTTCCTCATAACACTTTTTTGCCATACGCGTGATTCGTCTACAAGTGTCCACATGCCCTCGTCGGGTACTTTCACTTCATCTTCCACCAAAAACTCTCTCTTATGCTTCTGGTGATTCTGCGCAAAAACCACATAATCGGTATGGCGGTGTTATGTGCGCGCACTGCCTAAGCTACTTACTGTATTGCGAATAAATTGCATAAGAATCAAAAAAGAAGTAGTTGATCGAAGAAAAAGTTAGAAGACTCACAATCGCCACCCCAAATTTGGAAAGGAATTTCATAGGAACTCCAGTCATAAATTGGTCCAGCTATCACCTCGCGTCGATGTCGATGGACCTGAAAAGAACGAATTTCTAGTATCAAATGAAAAAGGAAAAGTGGAACACAAGGAAGGACAGTGTGACAAATGATACACTTTCCCTTGGGTGATATCAGAAAAAGGGAAATTGCGAAAAGCTTCCTTTTTTGACTGGTCTCATTTGATAATGATGACATTGATTACATAAGAACACATGACCTCTGGCATCTCTGCGTCTAGAGATTAGCAATCCCAAGCTTCGAATCTTCAAAGCTAAACGTATAGATTGAAAACTTACTTTCGTTCTGCTGACTGTTTCAATCGTTGTAAAGTGTGGATATTTATCGGAAGCCATAACTTCTAGACCCGGAATCTCAAAGATCTTTGAAGTATTGCCGAACGCAGCATCTCCGATGGCAACCAGTGCCAACGGAGCAAGAATGAGCACCAATGAATTAGTCATTGGTGCTTTGAGGTAAGGGATACCTGAAAAGTGAAATGGTTAGGGATCAGTAGTTGAAAGAGAAAAGAGGATCAATGATTGGGAAATGTTTTTTTTTGGGTCTTTGTCCAAACATTCAACTAGTAAATGGCAAATTGAAATCAAAATCGTTGTACCGAGATACGGAGAGACGTAGACATAGAAAGAGAGAATCAGATGAAGAGGCGGGTTACTGTGGTGTAGGTTGATGTAGGAGGGTGGCCCTCTAGTCGAGACTATCGAGAAAAAAACAAAAGAGATGATGACAAGTGGGCGGAGTCAGACGGACGGAGTTCGTTTTTTTATTTCTTATTCAATTCGGCAATAGATGGGAGTAAAAGAAGAAGGTGGGAAGTAAGATGACGGTGTATCTAGTACTAGAGAAGTAGTAGAAGCGATCACAGGGGGACATACACCGGTTTGTTGCAGCAAAAGCAGATGGAGAAGCAGCCAGAAGGCTGGCCCAAAAGTATATTGAGGAGAGAGAGAGAGAGGGGAAGGGGGCAAGTATTCAGATGAAGAAATGAGAGAAAGAAAGACGAACAATCTATATCGGGGAGTAGAGAGAAATATATGAACAGTCTTAAAACGGTCTTTTTTTCAGGCAATATCAGCTGTTCGATAAAGAGTGAATATTTTTCTCTCTAATAAGAGCTTTATCTATGAGTTGTTTGGGAGTCCGTGATGCCGAGAGTTCATTGAAGATGAGCATATAAACTTCTTGCTCCATCAGTTTTTATTTAGACATTTCTAGATGTTTCCAGAAAGTGAATCTCTGTTTCCAGAAAGTTGAAGGACGGTTTTTTAGAGTTAGGATACGCATTTCGACTTAACGGTGTACCATGCTTCGTGTTCACTCTGCGTACATCTATCATGACCGCGTTTATCTATGCCGTTGGGCGGCCGTTCCAGCTTTGCCCGCGTGGTTCAGTCGGTAGCGGCGCCGCGCCTTCAATACTTATCCCGCAAGTTTAACTCCTGAAAGGGTTATATGAAAAAAGTTTGAGACAGATCTTTTTCATGCTCCCTCGTCCTTAGGATCCTTTTTTTAAACTCAATTTTGATTTTCAGAAACTCAGAGCTTGAATAAATCTAGTCACAGCTAACTATAAGATTAAGTATAAACTCAGTTCTCCAATTTCAACTTATAGTTTTTCAAAGAAAACATTTTAGTGTCCAAAAGGTGAGGAGCGGAGCAGGCGCACCAGCCAGACTGAAGGCTGGTAACAAAAACAAACATTATTGTATTAGGTTGTTCGGAAAGTCCTTTCCATTTTTAGCGTCAGATACATTCAAAGTAAAATAGGTCAAAACGATGTCGGATAAATTGGAGGTAATGACCATCGTTATCAATGACTATCTGCCAATGCCCCACTAAATTGTGGATACCTTCCTTCCAGAACTCCGGTCACAGCGAGTTCAAAATCAAGTCAACCCATTTTTGATACGTTGTTTTGAAGTAAATTTTCGTCAATCAAGATGACGTTAGAAGTGGCTGGATGGGTAATAATCAGAATGTAGAAGGTTAGAGCTATACAGTGAATAAGGCAGAATCGTCTAGACATATCCACCGAGATCGGCCTGGGTCTTCCTTCCCTCATGAGGTTGAGAATTTTAATTTTCAAAATAAACCTTTACGTTCCTCTCCAATCGAGATCCACATAAAGTCTGAGTTATGTCACCTGACAAGAATAGGTATGGGTCGTAAAAGTGACGCTATTATCAGGCAGTACCTAATACTCCATTCTTTGGTAGACCACCATACCGACAACCTCCCATTTTTAACACGAATTTCACGTTTCGAGACGTCTGATGGTTGAGCGCCTTTGTCAACCCATTTGGCTTGTCGCTTATTGTAATCACGCATTACCCATTTATCACCACTAGCAATGGTTTGATTCCAACATTCATGTGTGCAACGCAGGATGAGAAGATTCAAACAGGTGCCCACCCGGGGAAAAAAGTTGCGTTGAGCCAAAAGATGGGGTCAATTTCTTCTCACTTTTTTGACTGTGCCGAGAGTTTTCAATTTACGGTTTTTTAACGAAAGGCTTGCCACTGATGTACTTCATATATCACACACAGTTTGAGGCGGGCCCGTTTCTTTCCCGGCTTTTAATGCATCCAAACCTAAGCCCATTTGCCTTTTTGAAGATTTTCGTCAAACAAGAATTCCCGTTTTTCAAATTACTGAATCCAGGTTGTGATGGTAGTTCGAATGGATGCATTTGCGTTGTTAACCGCTACTAGTTGGCGATCGATTTCAGCTAATTTAAGATCAGATATAAATACAATTAAAATGAAAGTCCAAAAATGGAAATTAATAGAGCCGAAAACGGTGAGCATATCTCATTACACGAAAAGGGGGGGAATGATCTCTGTTGGGGTGCAGACACTATTAGACCCCACCAATATACTGATAAAACGACAGCTTCCTCGCTTTTACCCCGTTCAAAAAAACAAAGTTTGAAAACAACAGATCAAAAATGGAAAGGACTTTCCGAACAACCTAATAAAAACAAAATGCTTTTGTCCCATGAAAAAACACTATAAATCAAACGAAAACTATAAAAAAGCTTTGCTTACAGAACGAAACGACAAATAATCATTTCAAAAATTTCAGAATTCATCGATAACGAAGAATTGATGAGTCAACAAACAATTTATAGTTCCTTCTTTTCAAGAAACGAAAATAGAAAACAAAGGTCAAAAGACAGACAAGAAATGTTTGGAATGATTTATTGAAAATACCTGAAAGACTGCAATTAGAACTTTTGAGAAAAAAAAAGCGGCTTTGAATACCATGTTTCAAGGTCTCGATTCTCGAATGATGAGAACAGAAAATGAAAAAGAGGAAGTTGGAAAAACGATTGAGAGAATAGTAGGAGAAAGCTTACCCCGTCTCCGCCCCCATTTCTCTCTTCCGCTGTCTGTTATTTCTGACTTCTGATGTTGGCATTCAAAAGAGAGTAATATTGGTTTTATTATGACGGAAAAAGTAGATTATCCTCCTTTTCTCGTTCTGTCAAGCTTCAATTTTATGCCCAGATTGGGAAAGGTTCTGCAAAAACTGTAACATCGGGTTGTGAACTGATTTTGTTCCGGTGCTCGGATATTTTGAAAAATGAAATACTGTGAACACAGTATGATAATCCGAGCTATTCAGAAAACCTGAAAATGAGATTGAAAAACAATAATTTTGGAGCAATCGAAAATCTACAGGGTGGTGCTCAATTATCCGGGCTGATGAAAACGGGTATAAATATCTTTAGACATAAATACCTTGAAAGAACGAAAATTGGTAGAAATATAGCGCGCCGTTGTAATTTTCATGAGAGTAAAATACTTTGACAAGCGATAACTCAGCTCAAAGTTTATCAAATAATTTGGCCAGTTTACTGATGAATACTTGGCCGGTTTACTGATGAATTATTTGAGTTGGAGCACACCAATTTTGAGCATATTACAACGCTTTCTTCAATTTTTATGCTACTTTCTTTAGTCCTGGCTGATTAGGTGCCACCCTGTAAACTCAAACATCTCAAAATCTTGCTGTAAAACTGCAATTGAACTTCATGAATACTCGAAAAGATTCCTCCATTTCCAAAATCAAGGCCGATAGAAAAATAGATACAAGTTATCGAGATTGTGTAACACAACTTCAGGGATTTTTCTGTTACACCACACCATATTCTATTGTCAATCTCGGCCTTGAATATCTAAGGGCAGCACCTTGTGTGTGTGTGTGTGTGTGTGTGTGTGTGTGTGTGTGTGTAGGCAAAGTTGGGTATTTTTAGAATGAAAATGTACTGAAAACGCCAAGAACTGGCGAAAAATTGTAAATCACTCAAATTGACCCGCAAATGAGTCAAAAAACACCGATGGCCTAACTTTTTGAAGAGTTTTCTAGGCCATCGTTCTGAAACTTACAACTAGGTGGCCTAGGAAATTGGAAAACTCGGTTTCTAGGCGTTTTTAATCGTTTTCGTATGGTTTCTTGGGTTAAATTACACAAATTCCATTGGAAAACCTCGAATTTTTTGAACTATTGGCCT